AATATATTTCTATCCTTTGGTTGCTTTGGCCACCGCCACTTCTAAGATGGACAATAGGTTAGCATCCAGAAGTCGCAATGTCAGCTTAAAGTTTATTACACAAGAAGATGATCCTGAAAATATTAAAAAAGACGTCAATAAACATGTTCATTTGACATTGGCAACAGACTACAATGCTGCCAGAGTTCATGACTATTATGTTTCGTTAGCTCATACTGTTTGGGAGAGATTGGCCACTCGTTGGTTAAGAACATTACAGCATCACTATAAACATGATCACAAGGTATTTTATGATTAATTATTTATATTTTAGCGAGTTTATTATCTTTCTCTTGAATTTTATATGGGTCGTACTCTTTCGAATGCCATGCTTAATCTTGGCCTATCGGACTGTGTAGAGGATGCATTATTTGACGTAAGACAATTTGTTCTTAAACTTAGCTAAAACCTTATCTATTTATAAAAGGCTATTAATACTTAATGTTTGCACAAATGAATCCTCAAAATTTATTTTTGCATATATGTTTTTTTTATTTGCAAAGACATATCCAGGGCGATTTAGGTGTATGTAACGCTTTCTCCATGACAGCTTTTAAAATATTTGATGTATTTTACTTAGACTATGATTGACTTATCTTATATGACCACATTTTGAAGTTCTATTCGAGCCGAGGATTTTTGAATTACCTTTGTAAATTATTAGCCATTATATTTTTAAGGAACAAAATTTTAAGAAAATCTACAGCAAATGTAACAAAATTTTATATTCAAGTTTGATTTTTTTATGGCTACTATATGAAAAAGTAATACCTTAATTCCTACGGAGATGGTCCTAATATATTCTTGATCTTCATTACTTACTGGCATTATTTATAATAAGAGTTATGTGATAAAAGAGAGTTACTCGGTATCCTTTAAAAATAATTATTTGAATTGCAAATGCAGTAGGAAACTTGTAAAATTAGGGTATTAGAGGAATCTGCCGCCAAATTTAACTATTGTGTTTTAAACTTTAATCTTA